TATTTATTTTATTTTTCTGTTCCCTGTCCCTCGCTCAATACACTCGTTACTTTCCCTTGAAGGTCTTGATTATTTGATATACACTGGGGACAACTCTTTGAAAACTACTAGCTTGACGTTTCTGTTGGTGTTGTCATCTTTGGGAGACTTTACCGGTCAGAGGATTAGGTGACCACCATCAGCGTTGCTACAACTATTAGTTCTAGCGCATACGATACTACGTTAGACTTGAACCCGTCGAGGGAGATCCCCAGTCACTACCCAACCTTCTTTCCACCCACCATTTCTACTATTGCGTCTGTTCTTCTATTCCTTGTGATCGTTGGCTACCACCCTTAATTACTACCGGGGAATAAGTTAACAATCGTAGCCTGGTGTGAGATCTCCGTGTGCCGAATTATCAATCTGTGGCCCGTTCAAGTCTCTTAATCGTTTGCCCTCTAAACAGCTGGCCTCTTATTCTCTTTTTTCCTTTTTCTCTTTTCACTTTTATCTTTCTTATTCTTCTTCTTTATTATCATTATTGTCATTCTTCTTATCTTCCATTTTCTAAAGTTCAGTCTACGCGTTAGCATCTTGTCTAACGTTTGGGTTAACTCCCTGTATCAAAAAGAGACAGTTATTCGTCCCCTGTCTCCGCCGGTCCCGCATCAATTGGTGACAGTTCCTTCGAGCCCGTTGTTGCATTCTTAGCACTGCTTCAAGGTGGCCAACGTGGAAGATCCGGTGGACCGCTACTGAACGTGATCAGGGCCGCCGTCCAGGACTTCTTCCCTCGTCTTATTTCCACTACCTTGTTTGTCCTTGTCCTTCACCCACTTGGCCGAACATCGTGGGATCTTTTCTATATTGCCCTTCTTATATCTAAGCAAGCCCTAGTACCCAACAGACGGATCGATCCCATTTCTTGCAGCAGTCCCAGTTCAAGCTCAGACTGTGCATCTCCATCATTGTCTTGAAGTGGCATCCAGGGGTTAACGTTGTTCTTTAACAACCGGAAGATATTTTCGGAGAACCTTACGCCACGTCCTGTCTTCCGTTTATTGGCGCTCTTTGTTCGAAATTTAGGGCTCAGGAGATTCTAGTGTTGACGGGAAGTATCATTAAGCCGTCCCATCTACCTAACCCCGGCTATCTCAATATCAGTGATTAGATACATCGGATTTGGGTTGCTGTTCTTTGTTCGACTGAGTCGCTTCGCTATTATATGGAGTAAGGAAGTTTTATCTCTCCAATACCATGTCAGTCAGTGGACCTTGTATCTGGTTGTCCTCTTTGCCACCCCCGTCTAGTTCTCATTTGACTGCGATTACGAATTCTTGGTCCACACCTTCTTGGAACGTTGAACAGGCTACATCAAGGACAAAGGCAGTCTCCCCTGAGTTACCCAGATCGTTGGAGAAAGAAAGCGACTCAGCAAAGACTCCTGCCGACATGCAGTCTGCCGTGATTAAGGCTGAAAATGCCTTCGCCGCCGGAGCGCCCGTGGGTCCGTCAAATTCGGTTCGATATTCCGGGGTAGAAATGCCCTCGGAAGCCTCGGGGAATCGGAATGTGCAGGCTGATGGTGACGTTTCGTTGTCCCGAATGAAACTCGAAAGACTGAACCATAGTGAACCACTTCTCTCTATTCCTCGAGGGGGGTCTAGCCCTCAAGGCCCAAGAGAGTTGACACCAGAAGCAAGAACAGGAGATCAAGAGGAACAACACGATCACGAGAAGGACAATGTGGAAGCAGGAGCTTCTTCGGACGATGGAACAGGGTCGCCGAGAACAGCATTGGACCCCAAGACAGAGAAGAAGAAGATGAAAAGATTCCGGTGAGTAATCAGGCGTGATATAGTTCAAAATTAATGGAACCCGGCTGATGAAACTGGAAGACTCACACATAATCAAACCCGCTTCTTGATGAGTGAGTTCACTCGTCAAGCACACCCCGACGCTGCGCACCGAGAACGATTGTCTAGAGAGATACCTGGGTTGACACCGCGGCAAGTTCAGGTTTGGTTTCAGAACAGGTACACTTGCGGCTCTCCATCACCACCACAATAACATACTAATACCATAATTATAGACGAGCTAAGCTCAAGCGGCTTACTAGCAATGATCGGGAGCGGATGTTGAAATCTAGGGCACTGCCGGAAGATTTTGATACTACTCAAGTGCTAAGGACTCCTTTCGACAACAAGACTGCGTCAGAAACACCGGTTCCGTCTCCCCTGAACCATATGACATCTATTTCGGGCGCTAATGCTTCAAAGATGCTCCTGACGGACGGACTACAACGGCTCAATGACGACGACTATGTGATCTCCCCACTAAGCTCAGCCTCGACAACAACAGGGAGTGGCTTCCCCTCTACTGCTGCTGATCGGAATTTGGAGGGCTATATGCCAAATGGCACATTAGCAAGTCGGGCTGCGCCAACACCTGTACCCGATCTACAGAGGCACAACCGTAGTGCCTTCCCATTCTCAAGATCCAGCAGTTTTTCCGAGCCGTCCTTCAACCCAAGCCTGCACTTTCCCGGCCGATATTCTCGACCAGGAGAGCCGGTCAGCCACCCTGGTATGCCATACGGTCGGCGACCAGTGGATTACGGGATCAACCGGCCAAGTAATAGTATGGTTGTTGGATACGATGGCCATCGGCAGTTGGAAGGTTCCGTCTCACCAACCGGACAAACGGATCAACCGATTGCATATGGTATGGACGGTCATAGTATGGGTTACCTTTGTAACCTTTGCAGCTATGCTTTAAACTGACTTCTTGTCAATAGGTCAGCAATTACATAACTACCAACATTCGCTCACGATGCCTACCTCGAAAGCATTTGGCGGGCTCGACTTGAACTCCCATATGCAACCGCACGGAAGACACATGCCTGCACTGCAGTCGATACCGGTTTCAGAAGCGTCAGACTATCGACACTATTCATACAGTCACCATCCATATAGCATGAGCACTGCTATGCCATACACCCAAGCCAATGCATCCAGTATGAGCCTTCCTGCATCGTTTCCCTCCGACACAGGTAGTGCGTCACATGGATCTGTTGGCGGCTCCACTGAAGACCGAATCAATAATCCGCCGCAAGTCTTGGACCCCTTGAGAACCAAATTTAGCAACCAACCATTCGAGTACTCCAACTATCTCTAACGCCAGAGCCTATTGACGGCAGTTTTACTCCCTACTCTACTCCTGCTGGTCTTGACTTACTTTTAATCAGTCCCTCACCCCTGGTTTATATCATCTTCCTGGGCGGTTAATGTTTTTTATTCTTTTTTATTTTTTATCTGTCGCTAATATTGTGTGCTACTTGGCGTTTGAGTCTTCATTCCAGTATATATTCACTTAATCATCGTCTAGGCCTTTTATTGATGTTGTGTTTATAAGGAGGGGGAAAATTTCTGTTTGCATAGGACTCGCTAGCAGTTCTGCTACGAGATGTTACATTGGCGTTTATTCTACCTTTTTCTTTTTTCTTCTTTTTTTTTCTCGTAAGGTTATCTTCAACCTTCGCTCTTTGTTTCTCTTTTTTTTTTCACCTCAGTTCCTTTCCGCACTTTCCCCCTTTAATCCCAAAAAAATCTCTTCCAGATACGAGAAGGGGGAATTGTTAGAGATTCTTTTTGTTCTGGGGAATGCACCCACTGATCACCTTTGACGTAGGGTTTATAGTATATAGTACTACCTACTCCGTACATGATTCTTGAATTCTACACGGGCCAATTTGAAGTTTTGCAAGAACCCGCGTAGAGCTGGAGGGATTAAGCATGCAACATAGAAAGCGACACTTGGGTGTTGATTGAGGTGAAGCTATGAAGTAGGGAGAACTGCCATTTGCACAAGGTTTCAAGCCGTACTCGATATAGATGTGAGGCAGACTTGGGTCTATTACTAGGCATCCAACCCAACAATGACTCAACTTGGTACTAGTATGTCTGTGCCGAACCAGTAGGCATCGAAATATTGCAGGTTACACAATGAATAGGTTACTTCGAAGCATTGTCTGAAGAAGACTGTCAAATCAGCGTCGAATGAAAGTAATCCTGCGCCAACGATGACCGATGACCGACAACAGGCGTTGCATGATTGGTGACGTTATCACGGGATCCCAACTAGTCCACCAATCAGCGCTCAGTAATTGCTAATTGCTTTTGCACCATGATTCGGGGTTGGGAAGTATAAAGCTCTGAAAATATCCAATTTCTCTACGATTATTCCAATTACTTTCATTTCTTCTATCAGCAGAAACTGATATATTCGTTGAGATTTATTTGGCTTGACCATCGAAACCGTCAATTGTTCTTTTCAGTACTCTGAGTCTTCGAGCTTGACTTGTTCATTTTGATTGAGCATCCGGCTCGGCTTTTACGTCATAAATCTATACTCTACTAGCAGACCGACGAGAATTTACAATGGTTCATCCTACCTCCACCTGTTGCAAAACCTCCGGAGACGGATCCTGCGTTTGCGCAGCTCAAGCCAAATGCTCCTGCGGCAAGGAGAGCGCTCTTCATTGCACCTGCAACAAGGCATCTACTGAGAACACTATCTCTGGGGCTCGGTGCTCATGTAGTATGTTTTCCCTCACCCTATCTGGCAACGTATACTCTCTAACATCTTCAAGGGGCCCGCCCAGCTGGACAATGTACCTGTGAACGCGCACCAAGTGAGAACCATCCCGTATCGGGTGAGGCTTGCGCATGCGGCAAAAGACCCTCTTGTGAGTTATCTTGTAGAAACCGGCTACCTGTAGCTATTTTACTGATGTCAATTTTGTTTCTTAGGTTCCTGCACTTGTGAGAAGGCTGAAGCTGTTGACGCAGCTGTCGAGAGCATTGAAACTGATTTCACGTCCCGCTTCCGGTCATGAGTGTTCTTTTCATATTTCTTTCTCAGTTGCTATTTTGTCATCAAATTTGTTCCTGGAGTTCTTATAGGGTGTTGGGTTGGTGCTCGAGACTACATCACGACTTATTGATTGTATTGCTATGAACGATTTGCATCAGCAGTGGATATGGTCCTGCCAAGTTTACTCGTTAGAATAATAAAATATGAATGTTTGCTCCAATCTACGGCAAGTGAGGACGGCCTCTGGCCGGCGGGTAGCTCTACACATTGAATAGAAATTCACCTATGCTTCCAAGCTTATGAAGACGAGCGCTAGAGAATATAAACGTTCATAATCATGCCAATCTCCAACCAAAAGTTTACCACACCCGCCAGAGCAGCAGGATGCAGGTCAGTTCCCCACATACAATGCGTTTTCACCAGCTTCCTTGCCATCTCCTGAGAAGGAAAAGAAAAAAAGAAAAATAAAATAAAAAGACTTGTTTCTACTGCTACATTGCTTCCGTTACGGTTCCATTTTCCACAGGCTTTATTTTTTGCAGACTTTTCGAGAAGTCCATACATTCTACATGTGTGTTTACATATACGGAGACACCGCCACAACGCATCAACGTTTTCCCGAACAATATCCGCCGGATCGACCGCGGAAGTGGCTCAACCCGGAGAGGTGGTTGCTTCGCTCCTTAAAAGAGATACAGCTGTTGGTGGACTTAACAGCTGAATGCTGGGCCTTTTACCGGGTGTACAAATTCCTTCATTCGACTTAAATTTCCTCGACGCTATTCTCAGTTTACTTTATTGCTTCGCTGCTACGGCCACCGATAGCCCCGCGCCAACTTGGACTCCCGTCTTGCCCCTTGTCGCGTTATCTGATCCCCTCTAGATCCCTCCGCACCCGAGACATACTGCGCCGAGTTTTGCACCATGCTCCATGCACCTTAGGGGAATTTGACGGAGCGCTGGAACATACATAAGTCAGGGTTTTAATCGAGGCAGCTAGGATATGCTTTTATGACGCTGCCCCACTAACTGAATTCACCGACGTGGTGTCTTTGCTTTTTCCACATACGAAATAACGAGGAAGGACAACAAAACGGGCCTTTCTCCCGCCAGAGACGAATTGGTGTCTCATTATTAGCACAGTCCTGGCGATTCTGCCTGTAATATCTATGCTGGATCAGTCAACATGTCGTCTATGCGAGGCTTGGTCCAATTTATTGCTGACTTGCGAAATGCTAGAGCGCGCGAGTTGGAAGAGAAACGGGTGAATAAGGAATTGGCCAATATCCGACAAAAGTTCAAAGGCGGAAGTCTCAATGGATATCAGAAAAAGAAATATGTCTGCAAATTACTCTATGTCTACATCCAAGGGTACGATGTTGACTTTGGTCATCTGGAAGCCGTCAACTTGATCTCTTCCACCAAGTACTCGGAGAAGCAGATCGGGTACTTGGCCGTGACTTTGTTTTTCCATGAGCAGCATGAGCTGTTGCATCTTGTTGTTAACAGTATTCGGAAGGATTTGTTGGATCATAATGAATTGAATAATTGTTTGGCGCTCCATGCCGTTGCCAACGTCGGTGGTAGGGAAATGGGTGAAGCGCTGTCAACTGATGTTCACCGGTTGCTGATTTCTCCGTAAGTTATGCTCCCCTTCACTTTCTCCTCGTCTCCCTGCTTCTGTGTCAATTTTTGTGTCTTGGCTTGATACGCTCATCTGGCTTGAAATACACTGACACGTAGCTTGCAGCACGTCCAAGGCCTTTGTAAAGAAAAAGGCTGCTCTAACACTCCTCCGTCTATACCGCAAATACCCCGGTATCGTGCAAATCGAGTGGGCCGAGCGGATAATATCTTTGATGGACGACCCAGATATGGGTGTCACCCTATCTGTCACCTCCTTGGTCATGGCATTGGTCCAGGACAAACCAGAAGAGTACAGGGGGAGCTACGTGAAGGCTGCTCAGCGACTGAAGAGAATCGTGGTTGATAATGACATTGCTCCGGACTACCTCTATTATCGCGTGCCGTGCCCTTGGATTCAGGTCAAACTGCTACGGCTGCTGCAATATTACCCACCGTCAGGTATCACCTGCTCTGCCCAACGACTCATTTTTTTTAATTCTGACTAATGCAACGCAGAGGACAGTCATGTCCGCGAGATTATCCGTGAGTCTTTACAGCAAATCATGAATATCGCTATGGATACGCCGAAGAACGTCCAGCAGAACAATGCGCAGAATGCTGTGCTCTTCGAAGCCATCAACCTTCTCATCCACCTTGATACTGAGCACAGCCTCATGATGCAAGTCTCGTCACGTCTAGGCAAGTATATCCAATCGCGGGAAACGAACGTTCGGTATCTTGGCCTCGAGGCTATGACGCACTTCGCAGCCAGGGCAGAGACCCTTGATCCTATTAAGAAACACCAGAACATCATCCTTGGATCACTTAGAGACAGGGATATCAGCGTTCGCCGCAAGGGTCTGGATCTTATTTACAGCATGTGTGACACGACAAACGCCGGCCCAATTGTGAATGAGCTTTTGCGGTACCTTCAGACAGCCGATTACGGTATTAGGGAGGAAATGGTACTGAAGGTTGCTATTCTTACGGAAAAGTATGCTACTGACGCCCAGTGGTACATCGACATGACCTTGAAGCTCTTATCTCTGGCGGGTGACCATGTCAACGATGAGGTGTGGCAACGAGTGATCCAGATCGTGACGAACAACGAGGAGCTACAAGCCTATGCGGCGCACACGCTTCTCAATTATTTAAAGACCGACTGTCACGAAAGCTTGGTGAAGATTGGATGCTACGTTCTGGGCGAATTTGGACATCTTATTGCGGACAACCAAGGCTCCAGCCCCATCGAACAGTTCCTGGCATTGCAAGCCAAAATGATTACCAGCACCGACAACACCCGGGCAATGATTCTCTCATCTTTCATTAAATTCGTCAACCTCTTTCCCGAGATCAAGCCTCAGCTGCTTCATATATTCCGGCTGTATAGTCACTCTCCCGATTCAGAACTTCAACAACGAGCTTTTGAATACCTGTCGCTGGCGACACTTCCTACCGATGATCTTCTGCGGACAGTTTGCGACGAGATGCCACCCTTCTCGGAGAGAGCATCAATTCTTCTCTCTCGTCTTCACCAGAAGACGGCTGGCACAACCGATAAGAAGACCTGGGTTGTTGGTGGCAAGGATGCCAATCAAGATAAGAAGGAGGTCCTTATGGCGCAAAATACTGGGCTTAAGCGTACATTCACTACGATTGTCAATGGCACGAACACTGGAACAAACGGCACGGCGACGTCACCAATATCAAGCGCAACAGGGGACCTAGCAGGACTGGACCTCAGCGCTTCATCTGCTCCGCCTCCCCCGAATATGGCCAGCGCAGCCCATCTTACGCCGGACTGGGATATTGGGTATAACCGCTTATATTTCAAGGAACAAGGTGTGCTGTTTGAGGATGCTCAAATTCAAGTTGGCCTGCGATCCGAGTACCGTGGCCATATGGGCGTGGTGAAGATCTACATCTCTAACAAGTCGTCCTTCCCCATTGGATCATTAACGACGACTTTAGACAACCGTGCAGCGCCCAGCCTCAAGATAGACACCAAAAGCTTACCCGAGCCTTCTGTTCCGGCTGCCGGTCAAACCCAGCAAACGTTTTTCTTTGAGGCACATGGGCCATTCACTGATGCGCCTACCATTCGCATCTCTTATCTTGCAGGTGCCCTTCAGGCCTATACGTTACAACTTCCCGTCCTTATGCACCGGTACATGGAGCCGTCGACCTTGTCGGCTGAAGAATTCTTTAAACGGTGGAGGCAGATTGGTGGACCACCCCTTGAAGCACAGAACACGTTTGGGGTAGTAGCAAAAGCAAAGGATATTAACGAGACGTTCACGCGACAGACTGTGGAAGGGCTTGGCTGGAGAATCGTTGATAATGTGGACCCCAACCCGAAGAACATTGTGGGCTGTGCTGTGTACCATCTTGGTACAGGGAAGACAGGATGCCTTTTACGACTGGAGCCCAATTATGAGAAGATGGTGAGCTTTCTCTCAGCATTCGAGGGCATATATTAGATATCTGAACTGACATGCTTTCCGTAGATGTATCGCATCACCATCCGAGCCACACAAGAAGCCGTGCCACAAGCGCTGGCCAAGCAGATGGAGCAGAAATTGGCGCAGGGAAGTACGTCCGATCGTTATGCATAGTATACGGTACTGGGGTCGGGACTTTGCCGGTTGACACGTAAAGTTTATAATGCATCTAATAATGTAAATCCTTTCTCACTGTCTTTCTTTCCTATTATTCGTCACCTTGGCAGGAACGCGAGGTAGCGACTTGTATTTATTGAATACTGATATAAAGAGGTATATATTTAACATCTGCAATGTACTGTCGCACAGAACTTTTATATACACCGGTGGGATGCTCCATTTAAGGACTCGTTGTGTGCTTTTATGTCTGGATTACCGGGGACCCCCCTCTTGAATGCAAGTTCGTAACTCATAACACAGCCTAGATCCTACACCCATATTTAGATCACCTTCGCCTGGTCTTTGGGCGGTCTCTCCCCAAAGATGGTTGTTCCCACCCGAACCTCATCACTTCCCAAGGCAATAGCGCCTTCGAAATCCTCACTCATGCCCATACTCAACTCCAACCGGGCATCCTCCCCCTCCAGCTCCAACTCCCGCACAATCCGATCGCGCGTCTCCCGCAGGCACACAAAATCCTCATTCTCCGTCTCAGGCGTGGTCGCCTTCGACCTTGCAATAGCCCCAATCGTCATTACCCCCTGCAGCTTAAGTCGTGGACACTTCTCTCGGATAAAGCGACAGAGCGACACCGCACCGGAAACAGGATCGACCCCGGACTTATTCTCCTCCCCGGAGGTGTTCACCTGCACGAACACCCGCAACTGAGACTCTTGGTCAGTCGCGCGCAGCTCTTCCGATCGCTCCCCCCATCCTTTATCCAGGAGGGAAGCCTTCTTTTCGGAATCGACACTCTCGACGGCCCAGAGACCCCGGACGTCCCGTGCCAGCGTCACGCACTTATTGGACTGCAGACCGCCGATGAAATGCCATTTGATGGTAGGCGGGAGCAGCTTGGACTTCTCCTGCAGCTCTTGCAGATAGTTTTCGCCGAAGTGCAGGTGGGAGGCAGGCGGCTGATGAAGGGCGAGGACGTCGGCGGCGGGCTTGAGCTTAGAAACGGCGATGAGCCGGATGGGTCTTGATTCCGTGGCGGCTTTAGTCGCGGCTGCGGTGACGCGCGACGTCACCGACCCTAGGTTGGAAAGAAGAGTGGCGGTTCGAGCGGGGGAGGCGGGCATGACTGTCGGTTGTTGCTGTTGTCCTTGTGGCGGTGGTGGTTGGGAGGTCATTGTAGGGTCTTTTGTAAAATCGGATTAAACTATGATGGTCCTACCAATTCGGAGATTCACAATGCCGGTTTCCGGGGGGGGGAGGGGGATGGTGTACAGCGATCTGAACGAACTATACGAATCAACATACGTAGGTATATCTCATCAGATCTAAAATGGAGTTTCCCGAGGAGCACTGAAGAAGCACTAGCCCCAACTAGGAAGGGACTGACTGCGCGTGGGCACGTGATACGGGAGATCGGCTCCGAGAGATTCCGTTCCAGAAGATCTCAAGTGGTCTTAACTTATTCGAGGCTTAGTGTACTAACTGTAGCCTATCTGGGGAAGCCGTACGCCGTTTTCGTCAATTTCTGCAGAAGATTTATGAGGTAAACTAATGGATTAGTCCGGGTAGTCCTACTAGTAGTCAGGTCCACTCATAACTTGAATGGTAGGGCTATTTGAAATTTAATGACTTCAGCTTTAAATAGTGCGTCATCCTTTGAAAATTTTGAGAGAAAAGGAATAGAAGAAGGAAAAAAAAAAAAAAAAAAAAAAAAGGAAAATTCAAGGAAAAAGGGCCAGACCAGTATGTTGGACCCTGTGACAGCGGACCGAATGGTAGAACCCACCAGACATTCCATCCAATTTCACTTACAGACACTATCAGATTCAAGTTGATTATAGGATTTTTTTTTTTTTTCTTTTTTCTTTTTGGTTTTAATCCTAGTTCCTTTCCGCGGATTTTTGTTCCTGCATTAGCAAGAAACTCTGTCAGACAAGAATGAAAAGAAAGACCAAAAATAAAACGAGAATTAAAATCAAGTCCAACCAGGGAAAAGATGATAGATAGTGCAATCGTTGCAGCCTAGACCTTCACTCAACTTAGTAAGACCTCACTGGGGCAGTACCTTTTTTTGGTCCCGAAAGTCTTTCAGCCAAGACAGACCCGAGTCGCGATGCACAACGGGGCGCAGTTGGCCGAACCATCGTCCACCGTCTGCCGCTTCGGCGAAGAAGTTTCTCACACTCCTTTCAATGGCCTATCGGTAGAGTGCCTCCAGTCGCCCAGACACATGGCTATCCTATGTACAGTACGTATACAAGTAATTGGAGCAGACCATTCGGCCCCCAGAGGAAGGAAGGAAGGATTGGGCGGCAAATCTCTCGGCGGCACAGAAGCGCGTGCCTTTTCTATTCCTATACATAGCAAGAAAAAAGGAAGACTCGGCGCTAGATTACCCAAATCAATGATTCAATCACCGTTCGTAGCGTTGTACTGATCCTTTTCTGTTGACGCCGGACTCCACCGGCTTCGATGCTGACGTCAAAGACTTAATCTGGCATTATCTCCTTCCCCCCAAGAAAAGTGTTGCCATCATCGTTTTGTGCTTTCGCTGTTCCTTTGGCTTGGCCAAGAGCTACTACTACAACTTAGGTACTGCTGCTTATTTCCTACAATTTGGTTCTCTTTTAGGGTCTTTTCCCCTCCCCACCCACGTTCCGTCGACTCCAAGTCTTGCACCTGGTGGTTTATCTCACTTTAATTAATTTCGTTCCCTTGCTTCCCTTCCTATCGCTGGAAGCAGTGTTTGTATTCTATCATCTATCTGGTTGATACCAGATATGCTGCGGTAATCCGGGGTTTATCGCATGAAGGTTCTAAACTGGAACCCAACAACGGAACAGCAACGAAGCCATTACACTCGCGACTGCTGAATTTGAGCAATTATACCCTTGACGGCCATTTCTCAAGGGTATTAATAAAGGGAGGAAATCAATTTAAAAATACCACACTATCTCGAAACAGCTCGGGACTGTTCAATTGACATCTCTTATCACGCATTTCACCGGAAGCCCGCGGAGTCGATTCAACACCAGCAAATTTACAACACCAACTTCAGAACAAGCTGCCCTCCAAATTGTCTAACAGTTGTTATCCTTGGGCAGGAATCCCATAACTACAA